CATGTTGTAAATTCTCACAACACAACAAAATACACAAGCATGCTTCAGATTCTCACGACACAACGGAAATGTTTTCGAGGGGACACTAAAAAGTGATGAACCTTGCTGGGATGCACTTATTGTTCATAGGCCTATTGTGACATTTGACGTTAAAAGCATTGAACAACAAGTTTGTCCCAACAGGGTTTATCACTTTTTTTGAATTATTTATTTTTCTATTATTTTTTGCCTTAATTCCGCAGTAGTGAGAGTGGTGATGATATGCAGTAAAGGGCCACAGGTTGGACTCAAACCCAGGCCTCTGCGGTTAGGACTACGCCTTATGTGCTCTACCAGGTGAGCCAGCAGGGCGTCCCTTCATTACTTGTCTCCACTGGAAACTCTTCTGTTGTGGTTTGAGTATTTGCAGCACATGTGTTGTCAAATTGATGAAGATGTTTTCTGAATTCGTTTGTATTTTGTGGATTTGCATGTGCAAGTTGCAGTGCCTTCAAACTCTCTCAGCCACCGTACTAATCACTCAGTTTCCACTTAGGTAAGTCTTACATTAGAATGACATATATTTGGCCACACACCTGTCTGAGTTGCATGCGGTGCAGTGACTGAGTTGGGACAAGTGCAGCCCCTAGCTGTCATTTATCCTTCGTGAACAATTTGTTCAAAAGAACAAATCTTTTGGGTGAACAAACTGAATCACTTCCTGAATTCATCTTATTATTTCTCAGATCAGTTTGGCAAATTAATGTGCAGGAATACACTCAGTGTCTGAGTGATTCATGTCATTGATTCATTCAGTGATTCATTCACAGTGAGTGAGTGTTTCCCTACAAACGTTATTCGCTCACTCACTTAGTGTATCCTTGCACTAACGAATCGGTGACTTGAATCACTCACTCATCGTATCCATGTGAATGTGATTTGTTTGCGCAGGAATACATTAACAATGATTCAAGTTTTTTGCTTCCAGGAGGAACGGGTTGTGTTCAGAACTAGGTAGGCACTTTATTGATACTGGATGGAAATTACTCAAACTAGCTCAAACTGCCAGGGTCAGATCCAGAAAGTTCAAAGTGATGCTGAACTGGAGATTAGATCGAAAGACTTAAAAATCGTTAAAAACCAGTGTTCATTTTCGATATTCAGCAAAACTTTTAAAATATCAAAAATTATAAACGGAGATTGGAGTGATCGCTACTAGCATTCATCTACCGATAGTCTGCATGTGAGGTCTTTAAGGGACATTTGTAAATTGCAGCTGCAGAAAATAACCTGGGACTCTCCCCTTCTAAACTGCATGAGTCTCTGCATGCATATAGGTCAAACGCGACGCCACCCACCAACACAAGTAAATTCTCAATCTGTGGGAAACACTGCACAACCACAAAAGGTTGCATTTGGACAGTTCGCTGATAATGTTTTTCTAATGAGGACAGGCTCATAAAACCACAATCAACCAATATTCTCTATCACATGCACACACAAAGGTTGATAGGTAATATCTATTGAAAAAAAAAAAAAGTTTATATGTGTATCTGTGAGTTTGTGTCTGCAGTTCATATCAATGTTCATATAACTCAGAGAGCTGAACGTGTCAAAGTGCTTTGCTTTGGCTTGTTTATGTATATGGGTCATTATTGTTGTCATCCAATGTAATTCCTCCACCCCTTCACTGGCTCTCTTCCTCTGATTGGAAGATGGGAGGGGTGAGAGGAGTAATCAGAGCCGCATCTCCTTAAGTGATGAAAAGATGAGGAAAAGGAGAAGAGTGTTCATTGTGCTGTGATTTAGGAGATGATGAACGGTACGAGCGAGGGAGAGAATATAAACAACAGTTTGTTGTAATTAAGTCGTCATATGGATGGATGTTGTCTTGCTTAGTTTGAAGGACACAAAAACTGAAATAGAAATGAAAAAAGTGTAAGAATTGATAAGGAAGAGAACTTTTTTTTTTCTCTCTTAATGAAGTGGTTAGAAAGCAGGAAGTTGGCTTAATTACATAGAAAAGTAAGTACAAGCAGTAAGAGCAGAAATGAGATGAGATTGGAAGAGAGTGTAAAGGAGAAAGCGACATGGGAAGGAGAAGTGTTGGCTGGCAGGGAGAGGAGAAAAAAGCAGGCAAAGACTATGTAGAAAGAGAGAGAGAGATGGCGAGATATAGACGCAAGGGCAGGCTGATAGACAAACACATACACGCACACAAACACAGGCAAAGGTCACACAGCCACCCCCGGTACTCAGACAAACTGGCGGTAAAATGCTCTATTTCCCATCCAAATTAAAGTGTCAGTTAATATTAATGTGGAAGTGAAGACTGTCAGGCACACAACACGCAGACACAGACAGCATTTGGGCTCAGTCACACAGACACAAATACAGAATTTAGAATCTCGCTTGGTCAATTACGATCAGCCGATGGAGTCATGCACACAGGTCACAAAGGAGTGTGCGTGTGTGTGTGCGTGTGCGTGTGTGTGTTTGTGTGTGGGGCTCTGATCAGGCCCAGTGTCATGTCTCGTCCCATCTGTCACATGAAGGTTATTTTTGAATGGAGATGCAAATTTGGTGTCCTGTATTATAAGAAGGGGAAACATGTGCTTGTGCATACCTGCATACTTGCAGATGTTTGTATGTGTATGCGTGCACATTTCAGTTTCTGTGAATGTGTGCGTGTTTTTTGTGTGGACAAGGAAAGTTTTAACCTGGATCAATTTTTTTTCCACCTCAGATAGGATTGTACTCTATTGTCTTTATGTATGCTTACGGTACGTATGTGCATGTGTGTGTGTGCAGTGTGGTCCAAAAGTCTGAAACCACTTATCCATTCACTTGAATGAGAAAGTGGTCTCTGACTTTTGGAGCCCACTGTATGTGGCGACAAATTGCATACAATTGCTGTTCTGTTTGTCTTGATGTATCTTGTTGGTGTAAATGCTGTGGAGGGAGGGAGGGAGGGAGGGAATAATCCTTCTGTATCTCTTTCTTCAACCGACCGGAACATCGTTCTTGCCTCTTGCAGGGGTGCACGCACACAAACAAACGCACACAAACACACTACCCAACCAACCATGAAATCGTAATGTCAGACCTGTTAATGCCTCTAGATAGCAGCAACTGCATCCCTGCGTGGTTCTGCTCCTTACACATAAACACACACACACACACAAATGGAACAAACAGAGAGCTATCTGTCTCTCACTGACAGGAATGTTCTGCTCGGTATAGTGGCTGGTAGGTTTTGGGCTGTTTTCACTGATATCTTCAATGGACCTTCTTAATTCCAACACCTTGAGGATGCAGGTTGTCTCAAAACACAGTTGTATTTGTAAGAAAGAAATACAGTGGGAAATTTATTTTCAGAATGCAAGGCCTGCATGTAAATATATTCCCAAACCTCCTGCCCAGTTTAATTTTCAGTCTTAATCCCCTTAATTGCATGTATTAACATTGTATTTCTGCCAAGGTTTATGTTGTTAACAATTTATCTTCTGTATTGTTTCATTTTGCTTCCTTTTCTGAGAGCAAACTCGGTTATTTGAGTCTTATACCATGGGAAAGTAGGACTGAGTGAATTCATTTTTATGCCAGTAAATCACATTTAGACACCCCCCCCCCCCCCCATTTCATAACCAGTTAAATGCATCCTGAAAATAAGCACTCATTAATTTGCAAGTACAGTGGTCTTACTTAAGTAAAACAACCCTCAACTGGCAGTAGCAGTCCATGCTCATTTGCATTCACCAGCACTCTAAACATGAAAGGTAATGTACACTCATATCATGCATACTAACTGAGAAATACATACATATATGTGTGACACTGATTACTAGGGAATTTATTTTCTATTTCTATCTTCTATTTTTTCTATTTGAAAATTTCTGGAAATTGGATTACAAAATAAAGTTTAACTGATTATTGTTTATTATTATTATTGTTAATATTTATATAGAGGAACTGTGGGACATAATCAGAAATCAGTGTGTTTTCACTATTTTCCTTATCACTTTCTTTTACCAGAAACATTTTGTGAGCAAAAAAAAACACGTTGGATGCATGGGACATAAGATGTGTTGGAAAATAAACTTTAACTCGCCTGCTACTACTACTAAAAACTTTTTTTTTATTGGCAATCTCTTAAAAATAGAAACAATTACCTCCAGTACCCTTATTACACTGTAGTATTGGAACATGTTTGTCAGTGATGTTTGGACAACAGTGACTGATTGTGTTTACATGTTTTAGCTTCTAAACATCAGTCCACATGAATTAACAGATTTCTAAAATATATACATGAATTATTACCTAATTTCACCTGTTCCAGGGTATGATGTAGCACATGCATCAGAACATCACATTGCACCGTGACCTGTAGTAATCAAACTGATACTCGGCTTTAGTGGAGAATCTAATCTCTCAGCAGAATGGAACAGGTCAATATCTGATGAACACCAGGCACTTCATGCTCTGTTTGTTTGTGTGTGCATGTACGTGTGTGTTAGGTAGAGAGAGTGAGAGATTTATTCTTTACTCTATGTCTGTGTTTGAGTGACATAGGAGTAATTTGCACCCAGTCCTGTCATTATTCAGTGTTCTTATGTTCATGCGTTTGATTTTATTTCTATGTACAGTATGTACCATTCGCTTTGTATGCCATGTGTATGCTGCCATGTACAGCTGTGTGTGCTTTCCCATCAATATATGTATCTCTCCTGTCGGTCGGTCGGTCGCTGTGCGTGCGTGCGTGTGTGCGTGCGTGCGTGCGTGTGTGTGCGACAAGGCCAGGCTCAGTGCCGCAGAGAATCACCCTGTCAGTCTCCATGTCTCTTCGTCTTCCACTGGCGGCGTCACTCCTCTCCCTTGCTGCACAGATCAAAGAGCTGACACATGCCCCGATGTCCTCTCTCTCCTTCTCTCTTCTATCTCTTCCTCACACTCTCTGTCTTTCTTGCAATCTTAACCCTCTCCCTCTGTCACTCACCCTCTCTTCCTATCCTTACATCCAGCTTTCTCCCTGACTATATCAGCGGGGATTTTGATTCCATTACTGCCGAGGTCAAAGCTTTCTATGCAGGCAAGGTGAGTGGAGACACGACTTGCACACTCTCTCAGACCTACAGGTGCTCACAGAGATGCACTCACACACACATGCTCACACACACAAACATAAAGTACGAGGACTTTAGGCAAATGTAATTTAAAAGTACAAAACAAAAAAGTACAGAGCAAAAGTCCTCTATACTATCTTAAGCCTGAAACACACAACATACATACAGATACTGTAGCACAGTGCAGGTATTCGACAATTAAGTTTCTTTTCTTTTCTTTTCTTTTTATTTATTTATACTTTAATTTGTTTGAGCTTTTGCATCGAGATGGTTAATTTCAATGTGGTGATGATGTAAATACATCTGAACCTGAATAGGCACATGTTCTCCTAAAATAACCCTTGATGCTGTCAGTGCATTCAGCACAGTAAACCCTCAGCAACTCAGCGAAACTGAGATCACGCTACCTAAATGGATAAGTAAAAATTCAAAGTTGACTAGGGTTAAAAGGCTCTTGTGCTCAAGACTCTCCAGGAGTTCCACTTGCAGTGACTAGAACATGCATACTGAATAATCAAAGTGGGTACAAGTGTGCAGTCTGACATGGCTCGAACTGTCAGAACTCTGCATTTACATGCAGTCATCAAAACCCACTGCAGGAGGAGGTCACATTTTATGGGTGTAATTCACTTCCTCCTCGACCAGGCTTGGGCAACACATGATACAACTTGTATTTCCTGCACACAGTATTTTTTCATTTTTACAAAGAAAATCTAATCTGCAATTCTTAGATTCTGTATGTACTTGAGGAAACGTCTGCTAGAGCAATAGCCGGGAGTTGAGTCACTTACAAGTGGTTGAATCTAATGGGTCACGAGGTGATTGCCCATGTAGAAATAAATGTATTCTGATACACACCCTAACCGTTCTCTAATCTTTGCTTCTTTCTTGTGAAATACTGTACTTTTAGCCTTTCAGCCTGATAGGAGAATATCAATTTTTGATTGTTGTGCACTCAACTTGTAAACATGCAACCTATGATGAGAGGCTGTTAGGAGATATTGCTTCATATTAATCAGTCACATGCAAAAAAAAAAGGAAAAAAATTAGGAATCACGGTATTAGATGTCTGTTGACTTAACCTGACTCCAATCAAAGTTAAATGCATACATTTACTACCTTGTTCAACATAATTAGGTATATACAGTCAAAAAAATATATTAAAATTAAAATTTAAATATATTTTTACATCCTACAGATGCAAGATGTGGTGACTAGTGTCAGTTATAAAAAGCCCCTTTTTAAACAGAGATCCTGCTATATTGCAGTTTCAGAATCAGAGGTGTGACTTATAACAACAGCATCGGCGTCACGATTCACTTCTGTGACTGCCTCTGCTGATGGCTTAAAGGTGGAACAACAATACCCCTTCATTCTGTGTTCATACCTTTTATACTGAATTGCAAGGCGGAGTAAAGGCACAACATTCTTGCCTTGAACAGGCTGTGTGAAAGGGATATATATATATATATATAAATGATCCAGGTAGAAGCCAGTGCAGTGCAGGGGCTTCTGAAAACATCAGAGTCTTGGCTCCCTGTGTCCCTACCTGTGTAAGAGAATTTTTCACAACTAAACTCTCCAAGGTCATTAAAATAAAATGCAAGTTCTTCTATCAAGTGGACTTTCCATTGTTTCTAACAAGCAAAATGTCAAACCAGGACCCTTGAAGAGACGTGAAGCTCAGTTCAGTAAATAATAAATACAGAGTAAGCACACACACACACACACACACACACACACATACACATACACACATACACACATACACACACACCCTAGAGGAAAGACAATGCAATGCCTGTGTGATCTTTGTGCTGTGACCCCCAATGATAGACACTGTCTACAGTTTGAAATGCATATCCAGTACTTCACCATGCACACAGACATAATCACACACATACACATTTGCACACAGAGATATGGGTTGCCTGCAGCTGTGTGGCACTCTCCTTTTTCCTCTCACCCTTCCCCCCCTCTCTGTAGCTGCCTGTAACATCAGTCCCTTTTTACAAATATCACACAGGTTGCCTAAAAAAAAAGAGAAATACCTTTTTCCATGAGAAAGAACACACTGTTATTGTAATGCTTTAGGAGCAGAACAATAGGAAAGTTTTAGGCGTTCCTTCAGAGATTTGTTGGAAACGGTGAATAATTCTGCATAAATGGAAAGGAGAGAACAGAAAAGCATTCGCAAGGGAGGGAGAGAGACAAGGGGAGGCAGAGATAGAGGGAGGAGGGAGGGGAGGGGAGGATGGATGGGATCAAACAGAGCACAGAGAACAAGTTTGTGTGAACTGAGAGTGAGTGTACTGTGTGTGAGTGAGTGAGTGAGTGAGTGAATGAGTGAGTGAATGAATGAGTGTGTTAGTGCCAGTGAAACAGGGAAGCTGGGGTGTTTTAGGCAGAAAGTGACAGTGTGTGGAGAGAGAAAGAGATAGGGGGAGAGAAAGTCTGAGAGAAAGCCAGAGCTTGGTTGTTTACCTGGATGCTGTAGTTTAGGGCCACTGACTGGAACCTCTACATTATTCAGCAACACAGCCCGCAGACAGCCAGACAACACTAAAACACTGATTTATACCACACCACCCATCTCTCTTTCTCTCTCTCTGATATTCTGTACTCTGTTATCCCCCTATCCCTTATCTCTGCCCGAGTTTTTGTTTTGCTATCTATGTATGTATACATGTGTTTGATTGTGTTTTGTTATCTGTGTGTGTGTTACCAATTTTCTTCATGTGCGTAGGGGTGCAAGCTGATAGAAACAGATGACCAGGATCTAACAGACTTCACCAAGTGTCTTGCAATCATGTTGAAGGAGATTGAGAGACGACAGTTGCAGGTAAGCACACCAGACACACTGATGGTTTCATTCTCACATGACTTGAAATGAGGCCACACATTTTTATAATTAAAGGAATAGTTTGACTTTTTGGGAAATACAGCACAAGTTAGAAGTTTGTAATTCACTTTCTTGTGAAGGGTTACATGAGAAGATTGATGATACTCTCAGAGTTTAGTGTAAAGACTGGAGACAGTGGAAAACACCAAGCCTGGCTCTGTCCAAAGGTAACAAAATCTGCCTACTGACTAAATGTTATGTGTCGTTTGTTAAATCCATCCAAAAACTCAAGTGAAAAAACAAGTAGGGGTTTTACAGAGGAGTTATGTGCTGGGAGCAGTGACTTCCTAGTGCGCCATTTAACTCCCCATAAAACCACAATTTGTTGTTTTTTGTGTAAACAAACAACATATACTGTGTTAATTAGTGAGCTTTGATAAGCAGATTTTGTTTTACCTCTAAACAGAGCAGACCGAACAGTTTCCTTTGTTTGCAGTCTTTATGGTAAGCTAAGCTAACTGTCTCCTGGCTCCAGCTATGAATGTGATCTCTCTCTTCAAGAAAGCAAATTTTTATTTTCCAAAATGTTGACTATTCCTTAATTGGAATTGCTCTTGATCGGCACATCAGTGCCACAAACATTGTTTTTAAAACATTATTGCCACAGTTATCATTAGAATAAATAGCAGTGGAAGTAGCTTTGGGTAAAATGAATAAATAAAGCTGTCCACTCACTCAGCCTCTGAGAGTTTATTGCCCTTAAGCAAGGCATTCAGTCCTCAGGTATTTAAGATGAGCTGCTCATAGGTCAATAGCATTGGACTGTGGTTGACTGCGGGTAGATCCCAGGTGTGATTGTGTGTGGGTGTATGCATATGAAACAATGTGCTTCAGGAAAAGAACATTCATGCTCTCTCACCATTGCCTGAAGAAAAAGTGTTGAAAAGTATCATAGGAATAACACCTACACATAGAATACACGTGTAATTGTGATTTGCCTGTTTTAAAGCAAAATACTGCATTTTTGTTGAAATCTTTTCAAAGTGTAAAGCATTTCCGAACAGCCTGATCTTTGCGATGAGCTGCCAGCCAGAGCGAAGCCCCGTGCCCAGCCAGCTGCTGCAGAGCCAGACACACATGGTGATCTGATCCAGAGATTGACAAAATTTCCACTCTGACTCTCAAAATGTCAGCTAATTTGCACAGAATGTACATCACCCAAGGAAAAAATTTAATATAATAAACCAAAAAATTTTATATTTTCAATTTCAAGAATTTTAACCGTGATCATTATTAAGATGAGCAGTGTCAGGGGAAATTATGTTTGTCTGTCTCTTTCCCCTCTCTCTTGCTGTTTCCCTATCTTTCTATTTTCTGCATTATATGAATTTTTAAGAATCATGATGAGTGTTGCTCCAATCACTGCCGAGTGCCCCAATCACTTCACATCTCTAAGCTGATGAAAGACCATGGAGAAAGACGCTTACAGACACACAAACATGCACCTCAGCTCGTATGCACACATGTTGCCACACTTGTCACTCTGTTTTTTTTGGTGACAGACTTGAAGAGAAGATAAACTTTTGTCCTTCCCTTCCATGGGCTCTTTTTTTTTTTTCTCAGCCTGACTAATATTTACTCTACCTTTGATTTGGCACTGAGTGTTTGTCCGTCTGTCCGCCTGCGAAAGATTGGAGCCTGGCAATCAGTTTTTGACGCCCTATAAGTGTTGCTGATACAGTCTTTTTTGTTTGTTTGCCAGGATTTTTCCTCTTTTCTTCAAAAGCTATGACTCTTCCTTGAACTTTTGTTCCCTTCAACACTGTGAATACGCATGGGTTGTATAAAAGCATAACTTTTCTAATGATTTAATGTCATGCCATGTCATTTTCTCTTTTGCTCACCTTCAGTAATTTCCATCCACTTAGCCTGTTTAAATGAATTACATTCATAGATGAAATAATACCAGGGTGATATGCAGATTGCTGAGCATTTTGCTCCTGTTTAGGCTGTTTAAGATTCAACATATTAGCCCCTGAATGTTTTCCTCTACACAGCGTAGCGCTCGATTTAGAGAATTTATCTCGTATTGAATTGGGTGAAATCCCAAAGAATGGTATCAGAGGATTATGGTGGGTGGATGAGTATGTGTTTGTTTGTGTGAATACATATATATTTATATTTGCATACGTCTCAGTGTGTGTGCATTGGAAAGTGTGTCTCTGTTTGTCTAAATTGCACATGTGTTTGTGATAGGCTAGTTTGTGTCTGTACACTACCTGTTTGTGTATCTACTTGTTGAAAAGTGTGTGTGCATTTGTGCACACTCTGTATTTGGTCAGAAACGGTCTCTGCTTTGTATCTCTGACAGTAAAGATATACCCAATTTATATTCATGGTTTAATGCCACACCGCACTGAAGTTTGTTTTGAGTTTGGTTTGAGTCGTCCAGTGTTCCTGATTGGCATCTTTTGTTAATTGCCTCCATTGCATTGTATTTGTTCTGTTAACTGCATTCATTGCCAGACCAAACTTACCTGAGGAACTGATTTTGGTAAGCATGATATAGGGTGTGATCTAGATGGGTGTTTCCTAAATTGAATTGATATTTGGTTTCCTGAGATATGGGCTTCTTTTGGAGGACTGTGATTTTAGATTTGTTACAGTTGGCTGTCAAGGCCGTGTTCTGATAGCACTGCTCCAGAAGGTCCAGGTGCTGCTGTAGTCCTAGTTGTGTGAGTGACAGCAACACTAGGTCACCAGCATAGAGCAGGAATTGAACTTCCTTGGTGTTAAAGGTTGAGCCAAGGGTTCCACATTGCTCCAACAATACTACTAGGTCATAAATGTAAATGTCAACGTGGAGACACCTGTAGCTACTGGTGGTAACAACAAATGTGGTTTAATACTACAGGTCACAGAATTCTGAAGGCAGCAAAACAAACTATTGTCATTTTAATAAAGAAGTCAAGCAATAATTGGCCTTTTTTCATCATTCCATGAGCAACCATGATCTGATTTTATGCTGCACACATTTTATGCTGAGAAGTTGAAGGTGTGCAGTCTGTCGACTGCAGCTCTTCATCTAACAGCTCACTGTGGCTGCGCCTTCTTGTTCCATTACTCCCTGCAATATTTCAAACTGATCCACTGTCAAAACATGCCAAGAAATGACCGTTGTCTTGTTTTGTAGACACATTTTTGATGAACGATAGCAGTAAGTGCTAAGCTCACTGACAAGCACGTTGCATTTCCTCTGACTACTTCATTATAATAGTCAACTCGTGTTGACTTAATTATTCATGAGGTTTGGCCTTTACACCAATTTGGAACATTTTATGATATAATCCCTCTTGTTATTTAAAATCAGTAAAAAAATATACCCTTGGTTTTAGGTTTACAGGATGATTAATGAGAGTATGCGGAGTGTAAACATGGTCAGTATGTGTTCTGTGTTCCATGAGGAGGGCCAGCATCCAAGCATTGATAATGCTGCTAAAAACCCTCCCCAGATTACTGCTCACACAGATGCTTTGGTAATTGTTAGCATCCAATTTGTTTCCATTCATATGTATTGGGCAAAGAGCCCCCGGCTCCAGATCTCAGGGAAGCTACCTGACTGAACAACAAGATTGAACCACTGAAGCAGGGCTGTCTCAGTTCAGGCTTACTGTGTTTCAGCATTTCTGTCCTGATGTCCTCTCGTCCTATCCATTGCTAGATTTTAGTTACATCATGCTGTATTCTAATTCCTTCATTATTATGTATATTGTATCTGTTTTATGTGGATTCTCAGTGTTTCAACATAAGTTTTTCTTAGGTCTGTGTTTTGTGGCTGATGTTATTTCAGGTTGGATTCCTGTCTTAATTTCTTAATTACTTTTTCAGTCTCTGTTTAGATGCGGAGCTGTTTTTAGTAAAACCTGCTTTACTGGCTCATTTATGATAAATAACATTTATTTTTGTGAAATCTGTTTAATTGGTTTAGATGAAACTGCAAAGAGAGGAATGTATTAATTAGATGAGTGATGTTATTACATTTTTAAGTCTAACTTCACCATCAGAAGCGCATTCATATGGATTATTTATTTTATGTACTTTACATGGCTCGTTTTCTGTTTTTGTCAGAAATATGTATGGTTGGTTTTATGTATACATTCATCTGGCAGTGATCTGATAGTGGGGTCTGTGCACTGATGAGGGTGGGGTCCATGTCAGTAATGGGTCGACTATACTAGTCCCAAGAGATGACCAAAATGTGAACCTCCTCAAGGCCTTTCATCTTGCCATTAAGCATATCCAGACCTAAGGAGCGACAGAGATGCAAGCTCTTTCCCCATTTTGTTCACAACATGGTCTTGTTTGTGTCTGTGGCTAGAAATGGGGTTGAGGTGTAGAGAGCACTGTCCAAATGTGTGGCTGTTGCCAGCAGGATCCACTATGTCAGGTGCACATCCTGTTCTGGCATTACATCTCCCATCAATAGGACAGTACCCTGGGCCTGGTAATACCGGATCCCTTTATGGAGATTTTCAAGAAAGTTTTCATCATAATAAGCGACTCAATGGGAGAGGATAGGCTGCACATATGTACTGATCATTATGACATTTGGCAATAATTTTGTTTAGCTTAAGCCAGATGTGTGTTGTTGCTTAATCTCTACTGTGACATATGTGTTTCCGTTTGAGGAACAGAAGTAATATCTCTCTATAGTTTGAGGGACAGTGGATGGCTGTGACTTTTTATGCTAGAAATTAACTCTGGGTCTGGTCTCTTATGTCCAATTTTAAAATTCAATTCAATAATGATTCAATACATAAAGTAAAAAATATAAACAGGAACTAAGGAGTAGGCAACAACCTGTATATTAAAGATGAGTTGTAGCGGTTGCTTCCCCTCTCCAATGTCTGAGTGGTTGGCCACTCCCTGTGCAAAGTTCAGCTGCATCCCAGGGGGTGGCATGGCTTGAACCATGTCAGGCTGTGTTTCTGCATAGAATGCTGCTCCAGATATGTGTCCTTGAGGCCCGGCACCACTACTTGCCTGATTTGTAGTGGGTTGGGGTCTTGCGGGTCGGGCTCTGGTTGGCTGAACCCTGGTCGGCTGGGGTCTGGTTGGCTGGGTTCTGGTAAGCTGGGCATCCGGTAGACTAGGCTCTTATAGGCTGGGCTCTGCTGAGGTGTGCGCTGTGCCAGATGGCAGTCTTCTCTTCATTGGCCAGTGTGGTGTGTGCTGCTGTCCATGGCCGGGCTGTGCTTGGGTGTGGGACTGGAGACTCTCATATGTCAGAATTGGGTAATGGATGATGTTGACCTTGTTTCATGTTGCACACTGTGAGGGGATTGCCCTGTTTATATTGTGGATCAGGTCCCAGGAGAAGCCAGTCTGTGGCAGCAGTGTGCAGATGGTGATGTCAGCCCTGGGAAACTCCCTAGGTCTGTTTGTTAATCTGTCACCTTTCCTTTTTAAGTCTGCTCCGAGTGTCTCAGGGTGGTCTCTGAGCAGCTTGCTTGTGACTCCATTCATTTGGTTGTAGTTGTTTTGGGTCCATTTCTCCAACAGATAAATTACTGCTGTGTTCTTCACATTCTTTATATACAGGGCTAGGCTATTTAGCTATGTTTTTACATGCATGTAATAGAAGTACATTTTTTCTTTAAATAAAAATGTTCCTAGGAATGTCCTGCAGTTAATTTCTCATATTCTTGTGGTCCTCCTTCTGTTGTCCTTTTTAGTAGTTTTGTCCTAAAGGTTCCATGACAGTTGACAGTTGTTGTTACTAGTTGTTACAAGTTGTCTTTCTCCCACAGTTTTATTTACTTTTAGTTTACTGGTTTCTCAGTTTGACTTGAAACTCACCCACTTTGTTCCCACATTCTTAAATAATTTTCTGTAGTAGGAGCTCATGTTTTGTTGTTTTTTTTCTCTCTGGTTGAGACAGTGCATTCAGAAAGTGTTCAGACCTTTTTTTCATGTGTTGGTATGTTGCAGCCTTGTGCTAAAATAAAAAAATAAAAAAAATGTTTTTCCTTCATCAATCTACTCTCAATACTCCATAATGACAGAGTGAAAACTGAATTTGAGAAATATTTGCAAACGTATTAAACAGGAGAAACTGAAATATCACATTGACAAGTATTCAGACTCTTAGTTGAAGCACCTTAAGCAGCAATTACAGCCTCGAGTCTTCTTGGGTATAACACAACAAGCCTTGCACATCTGGATTTGAGGACTTTCTGTCATTCTTCTCTGCACGTCCTCTCAAGATCTGTCAAGTTGAATGGGGGCTGTAGGTGAACAGACATTTTCAGGTCTCTCCACAGATGTTCGATTGGGTTCAAGTCAGAGCTCTGGCTGGGACACTCAAGGACATTCACACAGTTGTCCCTAAGCCACGCTCTATTGTCTCAGCTGTGTGTCCTGAACCTTCGGCCCAGTCTGAGGTCCTGAGTGCTCTGGTTAAGTTTTTCATTAAGGTTATCTCCGTACTTTACCCCATTCAGCGTTCCCTCACCACTGACCAGTCTCCCTGTCCCTGCTGCTGCAAAACACCCCCATAGCATGATGCTGCCAACGCCATGCTTCACCGTTGGGATGGTATTGGGCAAGTGATGAGCAGTGCCTGGTTTTCACCAGACATGATGCTTAGAACTGAGGCCAAACAGTTCAGTATCGGTTTCATAAGACCAGGGAATCTTGTTTCTCACAGTTTGAGATTGCTTAATGTGCTTTTTGCAAACTCCAAGCAGCTTTCATGTGTCTTTCATTGAGAAGAGGCTTCAGTCTGGCCACTCTGCCATAAAGCCCATATTGGTGTAGTGTTGTAGTGATGGTTGTCCTACTGGAAATTTCTCCCATCTCCACATGGGATCTCTAGAGCTCATCCAGAATGAACATTAGGTTCTTGGTCACCTTTGTTAACAAGGACATTCTGTCCTGAATGCTCAGTTTGGCTGGGTGGCCAGTTCATGGAGGAGTCCTGGTTGTTTCAAACGTCTTCCATTTAAAAATTATGGAGACCACTGTGTTCTTGGGAACCTCAATGCGGCAGTTGTGGCATTTTCATCCACCCCATTGCTTGGTTTTTCTGAAATGCATTGTCAGCTGTGAGACCTTATACAGACAGGTGTGTGTCTTTCTAAATCATGTCCAATCAGCCGAATTCACCACAGATGGACTCCGATAAAGGTGTAGAAACATCTCAAGGATGATAAAGGGAAATGGGAGGTAATTGAGCTAAATTTGAAGTTTAATCGCAAAGGGTCTGAATACTTGTGTCAATATTTCTTTTAAATAGAAAAAATATCTAAAATTCTGTTTTCACTTTGTCATTATAGGGTAGATTGATGAGGTAAGAATGATTCTTTTTTATTGTAGCATAAGGCTACAACATAAAAAACAAAGTGTGGAAAATATTGAAGGACACACTCGATTGCACTGTATGCCTCTCCCTCTTTCTCTTGCTGGCTCTCTCTCTTATTTTCTCTTACAGAGGGGAGCTTGTTACCAAATGTTGTTGTTTACAGTTTTGGTCATGCCTGTGCATATGGGGGTGTATGCCAGATGTTGAAATAACCTCAATCTCAGCACTCAGTTTTGCTTTAGCTCCATTTCCTGAGCCAGGAAGTTACATTACATTCATTTCCCATTATGTAAAGAGATGACACTGCAGGACTTTCTTGTTCTGAACTTTAAAACGGGTTAATGTATGCACATATACTTACATACAGGAAAAAAAAAATCTGTCACACATCTGTTATTGTAGCAAATTAATTTAGCTAATGTGATCTGACTGATCAGCAGCTGTAGTGGTAAGAGTAGTCAGTTCTCAAAGTTAGAAACTGTTTAACAGAGAAGTAAATTATACATGATTAGCTGCTATTCCCCTGATGTTTAGCTATTGACCAAGCAATTATGGTCAACATCAGCAAAGGTAATAGAGAATAATTACGTCCTACATTCTGTTTATTTATTTACAGTATATGGTTGAAGTGAAAACACTGAAGTGAAGCCAGTGTGACTGATTGTACATGGTTCATTTTCCATGATGGTGTGACTGTCAGTTGTCAGCCTGTGACAGCGCCTCTGCCCTCTAGACTCTGTTGGGTTTTAAAGCTGTCAGCACTGGTGCTTGACTGCTTGGGGACTTTGTATAAGGATATAACTGCTGAGAGCTGTAAATATTATATTTAAGTAAACTGCTGGCTCAAAGTTAAAAAGAACCCTATCTTAGGTCTGAGGTTGCAGGAAATGGTATTAGTTTAAGTAATCCACTTAGCTCACCTGATCTGCTGTTAACGTGTTCACCTCTTAATTCAAGAGATACTAGATGTTTACCCTCAGTGTAATAGCCTGGTTTCATTGTTTGATCTACCACTGATTGTTTATCTGTTCTCCATTGCATTTCCATCTTTAAGATCTGTGTTTAAAGTTTAAGTGTTCTAATGGCTTTTGTTGTTGTGCTTAGTTTTTTTTCCATAAAATGAAAACGTTGTTGATATTCTATACGTTCGTTATTTTCAACTAGTCCCATGCATTTCAATCAATCAATCAGTCAGACTTTATTTATACAGCACTTTTCACACACAACAATGTAACACAAAGTGCTTTATAGAATAAAAGCAATAAAAACAAGAACCTCCAGCCCCCATCCCCATCCACGCACAGAGCAATTTATCCATCTATTGATGATTTCCCAGACTGTCTGTGGCACTCAAGTTCATTAGTTCCAAATGGAGATGTAAAACCACTTTCAGATTTTATAATGCAAAGTCATTTCATCGCTGGGCACTGTAGGTTTTCAGCTGTTGAGTTGTTGCACATGTGAGTAATTACAGCGTGGTAAGATGGTATGTGTGGGATGGAATGAAAATAAACTGTGCGCCTGTGTTCATGGTACAGTCATAAAAGAACAATCCATTCAGTGAAATAGTGTGGCTCATTGATGTGTTTTTATGGACGATGGACCGGACCTCATAACACAAAGGTTTTGGCTGCACAGGCAATACTTGTTATTAGGATCTATTCATCAGTGGTTTTGGTCTTAGTGTGGAATTTGTTTGTTAGAAAATATCAGCAGACTTATGCTTTAACTTCAGCAAGGAGCATACTGGACTTGTTTGTTTGTCTGTTAGTTAACAGCATATCTCAAAAACTACTCAACAGATTTCAGTAAAAATGTATGAAAAATAAGTGATTAGTTTTTGGCTCAGCTTTAATTTTTTTTTCATATGTCATCTTTCATTCCTATAATTAGTTGCCTCTAGTTTCAGTCTATTTTTTTTTAAGTATATTTTTTGGGCTTTTTTATGCCTTTATTTGATAGTACAGTAGAGAGACAGGAAATGGGGAGGCAGAGAGAGGGGGAATGACATGCAGCAAAGGCCATCCGATGCAGGACTCGAACCGGGGCCAACTGCAGCGAGGACTGTAGCCTCTACACATGGGGCGCCTGCTTAGACCACTACGCCACTCGACGCCCCTAGTTTCAGTCTATTTTACACACTTTCTATGAGTAGTTCTGCAAAATCTTAATGGCAATTCACATATGGTTAGCTCCAGTAATACATTAAATTCATTAATAATGTAGTCATAAGTCTGACTCACTTGATGTTTTGTGCAATTCATCCATTTATAAAGCAATAATATTTCTTAATATAGGATTGAAGTTGTTCCTAAAATAAGGGCTGCCATCAGGCAATCAGCATAATTGTCTGTCAAAATGTGTACTATTTGAGTTCAAATGCAAAAAAAAAAAAAAAATTTTTTTGGTTTGTGTCTTTTTCTTCATTTCTCTTTCTGCAAGTCCCATTACCATAAGCTGAAAAAAAGTGTTTTCTCCTGTCACTTCAGCAGCATCCTGCCAGAGATTTTATATCAAACCGTGGTATTTTTCAGTGTCTTATTAATCTCTGTCTGTCTTTCCAGGTGGATGCCATTGTGACTCTGGGCGGTCTTGCAGACAGATTTGACCAGACCATGGCATCTGTCGAGACACTCCACCACGCTCTGTCCATGACACAGCTGCCTGTGTTGATCATACAGGGGACCAGCCTGGTATATCTACTCAGACCTGTGAGTGTATTAAAAACACTCAGTACATAGCCATCGCATGTATGCATACACATGCAATGAAGTTCCCCACGGTGCAATGATTCTATTATGTGCATTGTTTTTCATTTAATTTTCTCTCTTTAAGCTACAAAGCCAGCTGGCTAGTTTTTCTTTCAGGTGTTGTTTTAAAAATGTCATCCTCCCAATATTTCACTTTGCATGAACCTGAAAGTGGACTTATTGTGGCTATATCTGTCTTATAAATGGCATATGAGAGAAACTACACACACAGGCAGACCCACAGTGTGTGTTTCAACATACTAGACCAACATTCTGCTTTCCAGCACTAACATCTCCTACACCTTCTAATCACTCCTCTCCCAGTCCTTCTCTTCATTTTCTGTTCTCTCTCAAAAATGTTCTTTTCCTTGTTCTGCTTCCACCTTGATTGGAGTGTTGAACACTTTGTTTCTTTGTTAAGTAATCACTTCAAGCGCACACAGACACACACACTTTGCTGCTCTTATGGTGCCCCAATTTGCTGTTGTGCATGAGTGAGAGAGAGAGAGAGTCTCTTTTGATGCTCCTAAATTGTTTTTCCTCAGTGCCAGCCACTTTCTCATGCTCCTCAGTTGATTGAATTTACAAGTGGGCTGGGTAGCCGCGATTTGGGACACACACTGGTCTTTTTTTAACCTTCTTTTTTTTGTGTGTGTGTTGTTTATTTGTGAGATCTTCACGACAAACAGCTAACTGTCACACTTCCTGATGACATCTTGTAATATGTTAAGTGCGTAAACTTCTTTCTCATGCACTCCCTCCCTACTTCTTGTCATTATTCCAAAGACGCATTGTCATTTGCTGCTTCATACCTCGACACCTCCAATTAATCTTACTTCACTGAGGGTAAATTAAGCTCGTTTGTCAACGCAGCTCCAGTTCGCCAGCAACTGATGAACGCAGACGCCTGTACATGAAGGTGAACGCAACCTTCGAAAGGCCCAGTGCTATTTGTTCAAGTTACATCTGTAATTGAAGTGTTTACAACTTTTGCCAAATGTCCTCACCATCCGTATTCCATGCAATCACGACTTTGTTACGTGCTTAGCCGTGGGATTTGATGATACAATCAATACATACAGAGTTGCTCATGTTCTACACAATCCATAAACTCCACAAACCATAGCTAAATTACCAGCTATGTCCATTTTGCAAATTTAAGCTTATTTGTGACTCGGCAGTGGCAGAGGTTGTACTATCCTGATCATTGTTTGGTGCCTTCAACTGGCTGAAGCAAACACTTTTTACAAGCAACATATTTTGAGAGTGCTAGTGAATCCTGATCTTCCTAAAGGACAATAATAAACTGTAACAATTTAGGAGATGTCACCTTTGTGCATTTTTCACAGTGTCATGACATTTTAAAGAGGCTATTTGTAAGTTTTCTCTGCTGCGGAATGTGGTTTTTTGCCATGGTGGCGATTTTCACTTGACAAGAGCTTCGGCCATCGTTGCGTTTACAGGACAAGAGGTTAAAGTATAATAAACACTCTGTAGTGGCGTTACATCTTCAGAGCAAATTGGAGGCTACAGTGGGTCACTATCAGAAAGACAAACAATGCCCCAATGCCCACGACAAAGGATTATGTTTTTGGAGAAAAAAAAAGTGATGTTATTTTCTGTTGTTGTCTTTATCTAATAATATCTGACATGCACAAACTGTAATTATTCCAGGTCTCAGGAGGTGCTTTAAAGTCAGGTACTTAAAAATGTAATAATCAGGTGACGTCTAATACGAGCTCACCTTAAAGTAATTGCTGATTGGAATATAACATTAATTCAGGAAAACTCTTTAAATTGGTTGTGCCTGGATGCAAAAGAAACAATATTCACCTATTTGAACAGCCCCAGGAAATCAGGTCACCACTTGAAACATTCCTGCTGTGGTAAAAAACAGAAACTCTTTTGGAGAAAATTGTTTGAGGAAATTGCGGCTCTTTTTTTCCTGGCCAAGTGTTGGCCACGGCTTTTCCTGTACTGATCAACGATACAGTGCCACTGAATCAGCGTAATGCCGCAATTGCAGTTACAAATGACAGAAATTCACTAAGTGCAACGCTTGTTAGAAAGTAACACGTCAGACTTTGTAAAGAGCTGGAGACGGCATGAAAATTGATGGCAACTGCATCATAATTTAATATCGAGGAAAAACTGCTCAGACATGCTCTGATTTAATCAGGGTTGTGCCTGGTTTGTTTTAGCTTTTGTTTTCCATATGAGGCGTCATATGGGAAACAAGTGTTATGATATCTTTTGGAAATATGTAGAAGACTTGTATTTTTTACAGCTGGCTTAGGGCAATGCATAATTCTCATGTCTTTTATTAAATTATGGGTAGGGACACTGCACGGGTTGCAGGCTTGTTTATTCAAAGTCCCTACATGACAAGAAGATGTTTTAATCTGTCTAGGTCCCAAGGTGATGCTAAATTTACTCAATTTGGATATGAAAAGAAAAGACAAAATTTGCGCTGAGTTCATCTCTTTCGTTTGTTTTTCTCCTACTGTCTGCTCTATTGAGACTCGCTTGGAGGGCCAAGCAGAGCCACATTTCCTCACATTAGTGTAGATGCTTAAGAAAGCCTGTGTCTCTGTGGGACAGCGTATTCGCAGCGCTGTGTCAGCCCGGTCCATGCTATAAATCACTCTATAAGCACACACACTCTAGGTCAGACCTACAGGCTTGTTTACCTGATGCCCTTTTGAGGAGTGAAACTTGTCCAAGTAAGAGCTGATTTAAATGATAAAGTGTGATACCTGAGCTATGTTTGTGCTGCAGCACGTTAGCAGCTACGTGGCATTCAAATATGAAACATAAACATGAAGTGAACTGACACAGGATGGTCTGTTCTGTACTGAAATAAATAATGTAGTGTAATAACTGCAAGACAATAAAAAGAAAGTTCCCATCTCTGTTTCTTCGAATCAGATGTTTACAAAAAACTCAGAGAATAGTAAAACTAATCGACCTATAACTGCATGTTTTCTTGCGTCCTGTACTCAGGAGGTAAGATTCAGATATAGAATAGAATGCACACACAAAACCAATGACATGCTTGCATGCTAATTTATCAGTCTATGAAAACTCATAACAACATTTGTATATACATATTCTTAATTGTGTTATTAAATACTTAATGTATCTCCCACTAAATATTAAACCTGCTGTAGCATCAGCATTGTTATTGTGAGGTATGTTATCATGTTATCCACTATTTCAGCCTCACAGATTCTCCTGTTCTCCTGCATCTCACACCATCTACAAACTTATTCACTTTGATTGGTAGCATCAATAACATGTCAGTGTTTGTCTTTTCTTAATGCATGTTTTATAAAGTGTTTTACAGTTTTATTAAGTTTTACAAAAAAAAAAACAAAAAAAAAATCTAAATTGTTCACACGATGTAAATATGATCAAATAAAACCAACAAATGCATAACAATATATGCTGGAACATTATAAGCATAGTTCACTCTGTCTCATACCCCGCTAGCTTTATAAAGACTCAAAACTCTGCATTAGATTTGTCCAGTCACTGACTAACTTTTAAAAATTAAACTTTTTCTCTTGAGCAGCAATTTTCTTTCCCATGTTTCAGTCAAAAAGTTGCTCTTGCAGTTAATCCACCAGCTAGCCTCACAACCACAAAAATGTACATTCTTACCCTGACTCAAATCTCCCAGCAGCACCTCCTCATGATCTCCATATGTGTTTGTTCATGTTGCAGGTGCACATGTATTTACCCTTCATAATAGACTCTCTCACTCTGACACACTTACACAAAGAGACTGTGTTTATGTATAGAAAACAACCTCAGGGATGTTTCCTGAACACCAAAAGCCAGAATTTTCCCATCATTACTTCCCTCTGGCTCCGCAGCTCTAAGAAGCCAAGGAAAGAAAACTCTGCTTTAAATATGTCACACCTTCAAGAATTCAAACTCTTAACTGACTGTGCCTGTCTTTGCAGCCTGTGTCTGTGTCTATATGATCTTTTTAGATGACTGATCTAATCTTTAGCTGTCAACACTTTTTGTCTTTGTATTAATGCTCATGTGTATAGCAGTTTGTACAAACCTAGTACTGCTAGCCTGCAGACATTCAAAGCGTTAATGATACATAATTCTCAGGTTTCAAGCATTTTTGGTTTTCTACATCTCCTTTACCAAATACTCATGTATTTGCTAATGAGATTGAGGTGTTTCTTTGTATTTTACACTCTGAATGAGAGAAACTTTGTTTTGACCTTTTTGCATCCCACCATAAGGGTTTTTTATAACTAGTGCATTCAGAGTGAAGTCATTATTCAGCCTGAAGAGTCCGACTCTACCTTGCACCTACACTATGCAATGCTATTCCTTTTTTCTCCAAACCGTATCTAAAAGGGATATCATGTCATTTTAAAAATTTTGTTCTTGTTTATTTTCTTTTGTAGGGCACTTCATGAAAAGACTTCATTGAACCTCAAAAACATTTCTTCATCTGTCCCTCAGATGCCATTGAAAAAGACTAAACACTGTCAACCATCCTCACCATCACTGATAGAAAATGTTCTTTCTGAGCTAATGAAATACGCTTTAGAATGCAGTGGCCCTTGACTTCAAGTGAGGTATTCATTTCATAATAGTGCAGTATAACCAGCTTCTCAAGTGAAAAGCTAGTTGTTAGGATGTTTATGTGATGTCAGAACAAAAACCTTTTGACTCCCTGTGACAGACAGTAGAGTATAATTCAAAATGGCAATGTATCCTTTTAAGTCTGAATATTAACAGAAAATGGGTTGCAGCTTTGACAAGCGCAATAATTTATTTTAATGAGCTTTGTACCCTGGGCGGAGAAGCTAAGTTTCTCATTTGGGGCTGAATAGGTTTAAGAAGTCTTGCTCCACATTTATTTTCTCTTTTAATTCTTTTCACTGTCCTTGTTTCTACCTGTCATTGACTCTTTATATGCACACAGACAATACTCATACATTTTTTCACTCGTGATGTGGTGTTTGCAGGGCAGCCACAGACTGGAAGTGAACACGGGCCTGGAGGGGGATTGGTGCAGTCTCATTCCAGTAGGTGGACCGTGCCAAACAACCACCACTGGACTCAAGTGGAACCTGAGTGAGTCACCCTTTTTTCCTATATAACAATGAAATGACACCAGAGCAGAAATTCCACTCTAACTTTTCTTGTTACTAAACTTTGTTTGTAGGATCAGTAGAATCTTTACTTCAGAAACAAAATATACAAATAAAGTATGAAATTTCACATTTGATCTTGAAAATATGATAAAAATAACTTTTTGTAAAACATATATAAAATGAAAAGGTCCAGAAAAATAGATTTGTGGTGAGGAGAAAGGAAAAACAACTTGTGTAACTGTTATTTATTTTGCTAGTGAAAATGTCCAAAGTAACCAAGTTACATGTTGAGAGACTGGTGGCTGTAAGTAGCCTGAAGATAAGTGTTTATATCTACAGTGAAGGAGAAGAAATTCTTGATGTTCTAGCAGAGGTTGGAGCTCTGCTGATATCACATGGGGGTTTTAACATCTGACGAAGCTGCTCTCCTCACTACAAATAACAGTTTACTGCCAATACTGCAAACTTAAATTCACAGTGGAAACAACTTCCACTGAATTTTGCATAATGAGATACTGTAAAGTGCAGATGCTTACTTTGCTCCAGTCAAATGAGGCTGCATTTTTAATACATGTCATATATTGAAGACACTTACCTGCCACAATGAGCTTTTTATGTTCTTGAACATTGAAAATCCAATCAGACACCCATCTGAGGACCCCTGTGGTCTTGCCCCACTCTAAGCCTTATGGCCAGCTGTGTTCTTAATGAGTTGGCACAGACCAAACTGCCGCCCGTATGAGGGAAACCTGGACCTTCTGTCATTGGCGTTGCATAATGCATCTGCTTCTTAGTGGGTGTCCACCCGTAGTGTCTCTATGTGCGCGTGTACGTTTCTGGGAGTCTATTCCGGGAGTCTACACACTTGAGCGAGCACGCTTTCGTGTCCGCGCTTGTTTTAACATGTCTGTATGCCTGTTTGAATATGCCGCTGTGTGTGTGGGCCTCCAGTCCTGTTTATTAACTTGTTTTTTTTGTGCATATTTTTTGATCAGCTGCAATGTGTTGTATATTTACTCAGCACACCTGTGTGATGGCCTTCTGAATGGTAATGAGAAGGACTTTTATACATGAGAGTCCTATGCAGATTAGCCAGTGATAACAAGATGCGTAATTAATCACATGCATATTTAGAAGGCTGGAAGTAATGATTTCCCTCTGGGGTCGGGAGGAAGGACCAGAATATGAAACAAAAATTAGGAATGTCAATTCTTTTCTCAAATGTTTGACTGCTGCATGCATAGCAACATTGCATCTTGTGTCGTGTACCTTTATTCACTGATTTGTGCAATTGTTTTGACTGTTTGAATTTGTGTCTGTGCACGGTGTTCAACACAACTTGCTCAGGGAAGCCCAAATCACCAAGTGTGCCACTCTCGGGTGATGCTAAGACTCTTTAGAAGTTCATTGAAATGATCCCCCACACTTGGGTTCAAAGCATTTCTATGATGAAAAATGTATGATCTTTATATAAAGAAAGAGTTTTGGGCTGTCAGCCATTACAGCCTTGCTGACCCAAAGGAGGCTTTTTGCTTGAATCCAGAGCTTGTTTTAACTCTTGCTTTAAAGAATAAAATTCTGCAATGATTCATGTTGTTTTGATCCAGAGTGTAAATTTGGGATGAGTAGACAGTTATTGAGCAAACTTTTTACTGGTTGGTGTACTCAAGGGGAGTATGCAGGATGAGATGAAATACCCTTGGTCCAAGTTAATTATATCATGTGTTCTCTTTTTTATGGTAGTTTATCAATAATTTATGTTGTTGTGAAATTAGACCAGACACAGGGCTCATGTCTGCTTACAGAGCTGAACTTGGGTTTGCCGTGAGAGCGACCGTTTCTGTCATTTATATTTTCTCTAGCACTGTACACTGCTATAATGTTTCAGACAAAATAGACCAAATAAAATTAAAACCTGTTATTTTTGCTCATAAGTTAAGCATTACAATAAGGCATTCTTTAAAAAAAAAAAAAAAAAAATCATTTTTAACGTCAACAGATTTTAGTATCACACAGTGCACACAATTAGGATAAGAAGAAGAAAAAAAATATCTTGATATTGATTCTGTATGTGGTAATATTTAATGAGAGATTTGAAATGATATGTTTGCAAAGTCAAATTAATTTTCATCACATTAAGCCGAATAGTTGAACAGAAAGTTTAAAAAGTTCAAAAACATATACGTATTACTGTACATATACATTTTCACTGGTATTTATGTTCTCATAGTGGAAAAAAATCAAACATTCACCTTGTTATACTTTATTTAGACATGAAAGTTGTTATACACCATATTTGTATTTCACATTTTTTACTTGGGACCTATTTTAGACGTAACACAAGAAAAATTCCATTCACCTCTCTTGTATTGAAGTAGTGACAGAAGTTTTCATGGTGGATATCTCAAAACCTCCAGAAAATACATGCTTAGATACTAGTAGAGCTAAAGGAGAAAATATACTTTTGTTGTTTTCATGAATGACCCTTTGCTTCTGTTCAGACATGGCATTAACCTCCGACTCGAGTGATATTATCACAAGTGGACAGCTCTAAGTTCAGGTTTGAACGCACCAAGGCGCGTTGAGATTCGATCACTCAGACCACATGTGGCCACATTCTCTTTAGCAGCAGCAGAACTACTCAGCTGACGACCTCTGTCACGGTCTAATAAGTCCTGCCACAGTTTTAAACCAAAAATATTTTACTATTTCTCATGGCTAAAACCTAGTTTCAGTGTAGAGCTGTGCACAGCGCATTGAGTCACTCAAACCCTCCTTGACCCCTTCTCTTTCTCACTTTATTTATCTCTCACTCTCTCTCTCTCTCTCTCTCTCTTGCTCTCTCTCTCTCTCTCATACAAACACATTGATAACAGACCTGTCCATCATTGTTGGATTGGCTAAAAACAACACATATGTGTTTATTTGCATATAGAGTGGGGAAGTAGTCACTTGAGACGCATGTGGAGAGACATTCTAATGCCAGGTGTGAACTCACCTACTTAGAGCTGTCCTCTTGTGATCGGATCACCTGAGACGCATGTTAATGCCAGGACGGAACAGGACCTTTGAGACATAAAGGCCAGGCAGGGACACCAGAGTGCCAACCTTTCTGATGGGGGAACCTTGGGGCACATGGGTTGATGCCCTGTGGTACCAGAAGAAAGGAGATACTGCTGGCAGCACAGTCAACTCCTGAGGGTCATGGCAGAAGCAATCTGCTCTGAAATTTCTACAGGCATTTTGTAGATCAATTGAGGCATATACGTTTGACATATATTAAATCCAGGATTTTAAAGGAAAGCAAGATGCTTGCCAGTATTGTGCAAACTGACATTAGGAGACTTTGAGTTGGAGTGTGATTGAGGTTCTCTTGATGCCTCCCAGGGCTTCCCCTATAAACTACAACACCCTGACCACACTTAAGTTTAATTTTCCTTTTCTTTTTTTTTCTTTCTTCTCATCTTAATTCTACATCTTAAAAACAAAGGAGTATAGAACAGATGCCTTAATGATTTAGCTTGCCTTTTTTAAGCAGATGGTATGGTACAGACTGGTACTGTAGCGGTCTTAGAGCTATAATTGTACTTAAAATAATCATTTGGAACTTCAGAATTTACCATTGTCAAGGTTAATATAACACCATTTTGATATCGATTGTTATCCAGCACAGCAGTAAAGGTTGAATGCACAGGCTTTGCATAGCAAACTCTTCAGAGCCTTCAGCCTGTTGAACTGTGAGGCAAAAAGGAGAAAGGAGGGAGAGTGATCCGCAACATCACAGAGGCGCTGGAGAAAACCTGTGGATGGCTGTGGTGCAAGAGAGTCTTTGTTGAGGCTGTTGTCCAATGAAAGGACTGCACTGTGGTAATGATACTAAAGGAGGGGAGTGTGCCACTAAATAATGAAGTGACTGCAGTGTAGTAAAGGTAAAAATGTAGGAGGGAAGCATACAATTTTATAATGAAGTAACTGCTATGTGCTGTGAATAAAAACATGGTAATCAGTGTGTTGGCTCAAGAGATGGGCAGACTTCTGAGTTGGCATGAATGTTGCATCTCACTCAAATCCCTATTTGCAATAATTTCCACTTTTATCAAATTTTTTACTGTCATTTCCCTTTTCACTTTGTTCTTTACCATCCAATTTCATCCTGTGGTTGCCTCTCTCAAACTCCTGATATCTCTTCTCTCTCATTATTAGCCGCTGTGACAACTGAGCTACCATACTTATCACCTTCTGTATGTTACTTTAATTTTCAAGCGTCAGTGCTAAAATCCCCCAAAGTAACTGTCACTGAATGGTGTCATTGTGTGTATGTGTCCATGTGTGTTTTAGCTTGCATTCAAGCACATGTGTGTGTTTCAAGATGGGTTTGGATAGTAGCTCAGGACAGTATTCCTTAATGAAATCATTTCCCATGAAAGATCTTTAAAATTCATGTTAATATTGCATATGCATACACCATTATACACAGCACACATATAGAAGTTATATATGTATATATAGTAGACAGGGCTGTCTCCAGAATACTTCTAGGTTTGTGTCATTTAGCCAGGGAAGAGAAACACAAAGACAAAAACACTAGTTAAAAAAAGTACATGCAGTCTCTTTGTCATGTGTATGGTGAGCATTAATTCCATTTTTTAGGCCAGTGTTGTCAGCTTAATTGTACTTTTGTGTGATAACTGGTAATGCAGAATCTACATACACACGGTATGTAATATATGGTTATATTTTTATTATTTGTATTCATTGCATGAGGAAAATTAAATGGGAGAGGATTTTTTGCTAATTCCACAGATTACTTTCTAAGAATATTTGTTGGATATAAACATCTTTAATCGGGAGCCCTGAGGCTGAACATGTCTTACGGTGTTACTTACTTTTCTTACGGTGATAATTCTCACATAAGAGCCACTATTTGAATGATCAAACAAAACATAATGCATAGTAGCATAATGTACCATTACACAACAC